CACACACACACACACACACACACACACACACACACACACACACACACACACTCACATGCATACACACAAATGCTCACAAGCACACACAAATACAAACAGAGAAACACAAACAAAGACACACACACCATGCCACACATACACACACACGAGCACATACATTCACAAAACACGCACATACCATACCATATACACAAACACACACACACACACACACACACACACACACACACACACACACACACACACACACACACACACACACACACACACACACACTCATACCATTACACATACATACACACACACACACAAAAAAACACCCCATCCCAATCTCATGGCTCGGATGCTTATGACGAGCAGTAAACATCAAGCCCATGTCAATTCCAGTTCTCACAGCTTTCGCTAGGCTATAGGAAATGGCGTTTATCTGATTACTTCGTAACTCACTTCCTTAGGAAAAATTCGACCAAGAGGAAGACCAGATAAAAGACGGCAAGACGGCATCATATAACAATCTGGTTCTGCCTGGACATGGAAAACAGCTGCTAAAGCAGAGTGGAGGTGAAATAAAGAAAGAAAGAAAGAAAGGACAAGACAGAAAGAGAGAGATAAAGAAAGAACGAATGAAAGAAAGACAGACACACAGAAAGAAAGAAAGAAAGAAGAAAGAAAAAAAGAAAGAAAGAAAAAAAAAGACAGAAGAAAGAAAGAAAGAAGAAAGAAAGCAAGCAACCTAGATTCAAGACAACGTTTGTGGTTCACCCGTCTAATATGAACTGCAGTATATTTATTAATTACGTTACCTAGGCACGATCATAGCTATTAATACTTCGGTGTGAAGTGTGATTTAACGATTGTTTATAGCACACTGAACTAACGACGCCAGCACATGATTATCGGGATAATAAATATGCAGTTTGTGGTATCATCCTAAAGCTTTTTCATTGGCTCGATTTTGATGAAATTAAATACTCATGAATCTTGCACAAAAGTTTAGATATTTGTTATTGAATGAGGTGTGTGTGTGGGGGGGGGGGGGGGGTCGCCTGGTGTCGGATGTAAAAGTGCTGCCAAAGCGTGACGATTAAGTGTCCTTGGAAAGTGTAAATTTACACTTTTTTGTGTGTTTTCGACCGACCCCCGCCCCACCCCCTAGTAAATTTCACACAGTAAATATGCTTTTACTGTGGACATAAAAGGAATTGAACCCCATCCCCATCCCACCCTCTTCCAATAAAAATCAACTGAAAAAGAACTTTAAAAAAAAAAAATAATAAACTCCCCTTAAAAGACACTCAAAAAAACATACCCCCCCCCCCCCCCCCAAAGAGCCACATAAACCGAAAGACATTTTAAAAAAATTAGTTTTTAAAAAGATGAGAATTACCCAACAACCCGAAATATGTCTTTTTTTCTATTTCGAGACTGCTTTCATCCCAATAACACACTGGATTATGGTTATTCGTCAAAACTGATTAGAGCGCTTTTTTTCGAAAAGTCAAATAGTGCATTGCATTGACGCGATGTTTTTTGTGGCTATATTGAGAATAACATAAAGTTAGAATAGATTAGCAAACATAGAACCAGAGGCGGTTCGGTTCGTTAACTGGGCAAGACCTGTCGTGGACATGAGATTGGCTGTTGAGAATAGTTCTAATTAACCCTTTCCCTACGCCCTGATGTTATTTTGTACCCCTGGGGTTGTATTCTTCACTTTTAGAATACTTTTAGTGCGAAGATCTCTTTGAAAGTTTCAGTATTTCTAAAAAAGTAATCATTTTGACAGACTGTTATGCAAAGCGCACGGATCGGATTAACGAGTAAATTTTCTCTTTGGAAAATGGTGACACAGAGTTCCCCACGTCGTATGGATACGATGGTAAAACACGACGTACGGATAGAGTTAAATTTCAAGTAAATCCAAATTAAGATTTATCATCATTGAAATAGCACTTTCCATAAAAAAAAAGATACGCTCAAAGAGACAATAAGGGCTCGTCGATGTGTTGTCGCACTATAGAAACTTGTTCCTAAATCTCAGTTTATCCCGCTGGCTCATGTTACCACTCAGGAGTGCTGTCACAACGCGCGCCTTTGTATCGCGCGCTCAGCGGTGACGTCACCCAGCACGGCGAATTGAGCAATGCTCTCAGAGTGGAAAGAGTGAAAGAGCCCTCACGAAGATCGCCTTTCTTTCCAAATTTGGAGAGAGAGAGGGAGAGAGAGAGAGAGAGAGAGAGAGAGAGAGAGAGAGAGAGAGAGAGAGAGAGAGAGAGAGAGAGAGGGAGCTTTTAAACATGTGAGCTTTTGAACTTGCCTTATCCTTCGTCAGTATAGATTCTTTTTAATTGCATTCTGGTCTGAGTCGAAGAAATTCATTTCTCTTCTTCTTTTCTGGTTTTAAATGTATTTGCGTTTACCCCCCCCCCCCCCCCCTCTATCCCCCACGGACACTATTTAGATCGTTTAGGCTTCCGATCCTGTCTGTTACGGCCAACCTCCACTGAGAGGGATACAACAACCCAGCAGAGAACCCCGAAATACTCGATAAAAAATGTTTTTTTGCAACTCAGGAATTGAACTCGATCCCCGTGCGTGCCACAGCGAATTGCATAACCGCTACATCACAATCAGACCACTTTTCTCTTCTTCGTTGATTAAGTCTGAAAGAGCAATTCAAGTTGATCTTCTAATTGGTCTGATAACAAGAGAAACTTTAATTGTTTAATTCACGTATTCATTAAAGATATTTTTTATTGCAATAGTCAATCTTATTTTCAATTTGGTAAGCGTTTTTTTAGCGCTCACTTCTGCATAAATGTGATAATTTATTTATCATTATGAGCGCGTCGCATTCAAGTAGGTTGTTTTCACATAAGTGTTTAATTTCGCCTTTACTACTACTACTACTACTACTACTACTACTACTACTACTACTACTACTACTACTGCTGCTGCTGCTGCTACTACTACTACTACTACTACTACTACTACTACTACTACTACTAATAATAATAATAATACAATTAATTTTTCTGCCTACTGGATTGTTTATACATCACCATTTGTTGTTCTACTAAGGCTCTGTCAGTAATCAAAATCAACCAATTTGAGATAAAATATGCTATTAAGTCACTACCCTATAACTCGTTCAGTTCTTAGTTTTGAGAAATTTAAAACTTCATCAACATGTCACGCTTTTTTCGAATGCAGTTCTTTGAATATTTCGATAACAAACTCGGCGTAATCTGAAGACTTTGATAGAGCAGATAGAACATTAATTTAATTTGTTTCTGGCCTTATGGTAAAGTATCTCAAAACGGCCAAAAATGTCAGATACGACTTTGGAATTCTAAAGTAGCGAAGTGATATTCCTTTCTTCAAGTTATATGCCTTTATCCAAGTAATTTTCCTTTATTCAAGTGATATTCCTTTCTTCAAGTTTGTGATATTCCTTTCTTCAAGTTATATGCCTTTCTCCAAGTAATTTTCCTTTATTCAAGTGATATTCCTTTCTTCAAGTTATATGCCTTTATTCAAGTAATTTGCCATTATTAAAGTGATATTCCTTTCTTCAAGTTATATGCCTTTATCCAAGTAATTGTCCTTTATTCAAGTGATATTCCTTTCTTCAAGTTATATACCTTTATCCAAGTAATTTTCCTTTATTCAAGTGATATTCCTTTCTTCAAGTTATATGCCTTTATCCAAGTAATTTTCCTTTATTCAAGTGATATTCCTTTCTTCAAGTTATATGCCTTTATCCAAGTGATATTCCTTTATTCATGCAGCATTCCTTTATTGAAGTAATATTCCTTTATCCGCGTGATATTCCTTTAATCAAGTAATATTCTTTTATTCAAGTAATTTCCGTCATTTAAGTGACATTTCTTTATTCACAGGGAGCTCTAGTGGCAAAGTGAGTGATGTCTAGCAAGTGTCGGCGAGACGGGGTTTAAAAGGGTTGCTATCGGGGTGCATCCTTGAGCAAGACACGACAACCCTTGCTCCAAAACAAACAAAAAACAGGGAGCAGCACGATGGAGACCTGCAATAACATGTTTGTGAAATTCGTCTGTATTGGTGTAAATTGCGTACATGTATGAATGTACGTACGTGTTCATGCAAGTATATTATATTATGTATGTATTTCTAGTCATGTACATTTACGTATACAATGTATATGTTTCCAATTATAACCCAAATTTCCCGACGGAGATTAAAGAAACGTACAAAGCAAAACATTTTTTTTTCCTTTTATTCAAGCATTATGCCTTGATTCAGGTGCTGTTCCTTTACCACAGGGGGAAATTGTTTGTCATAAAAAAGGAAAACTTTCGACCTGAAAATTGGACAACAATAGCGCCATTTTTAGGCGCACACTGTTTTTCTCACATTGGTGTTTACAGAGAATATTGGCTGTTTTCTTATATAAAACACAGTAAACATTGTGATTGAAGATACTAAAATAAATCGTGCCAAAACAGCTATTGCGAAATAGTTAGCGCTCTGAGGTGTGAAGACAAAACAAAAATAGTTAGACTGGAACGATATCCAAGTGCAATTAAAACAAATCAACTAGAACTGTATTCAAAAGACATCGCGCATAGGACTTGAAAAGGGAATGTCTCCATAAAAATTGTCCTTTGTTGTAATCTGAAATATAAGCAGGCGGTTTAGAGAGGAAACGCTCGAAATATCCTCAGCGTTTTTACTCAACCAAGAACAGTCTCTGAAATCACAGTGGTAAGTATTGCTTTCAAAATGATAGTAATGATAGGGGATTACGTAACAACTCTTACTTTATTGATTTTTGTGTTCTTAACTGAACTTTGGTCATCCAGATTTATTTTTGAGATTCTCATCTTCCAAATCTTTGTATTCGTCTCTCTCTTTATCATCATAGTTCTCTTTCTCGTCTCCCCCCTCCTTTCTTTCTATCTCGTTCTCCTTCTCCCTTTCTTATTCATCTTCAGTCTCCTCCCACTGTCACTCTCAGCAACTGCCCCCCCCCCTTTTTTTTCTTTATCGCACCTCCTCTTACTTCCTCTGCTCTATCTCTCTCCCTCATCTTCTTTTGTTTCTTTTTCTACTCGCTTTTTTTCTTTTCATCCTTCACCTGCGGTTTTTTCACCCATTAAGTCCTGTTTTGCTACAAGCTAAGGGAAAACCAATGAAGACATTTTTTTACCCTAGCTTCGACCACGTCTTCGTATATATTTAATAAGATCTGCAGTTTGATGATGGTTGTGTACAAACAATGCCATGAGCACATCGTTCACGTGACAATGATTGTAGATAGAGGGGGGTGTTTCATAATATGTTATGTCATCTCGGCATTTGTCTGGGTGTTTTCCAGATGTCGTCTGCCATGAGAAGCTTCATCTTTCTGGCGATTAGCCTGATGCTGGTAATTGTTGTTGACCAGAGTGAAGGAGGTTCAGTCGATAATTGTTTGACTAGGTTTCAACAATATCATAGCTCCTGTACTGGAAAGATGTCCAAAAGCTTGTGTGACATAGAATTAGGCGGTTTTGTTGGTGCTTGCTATTTTCACTTGGCAAAATGACATTTGGGGATGGAATCCTGTGGAACTCCCAGAAATAAAAACATTTCAAACCCTCAAAAAATTAAAAATTAAAAAAAGCTATTGCGAAATGTATATTATGCGTCATGGTGAAATCAGCGCTCGTTGAAATGCTGAAATCGAAGAAACTGACATTATATTTTTCTCCCGTTGAAATTGTTTTTCGATTTTTAAAATTTGGCTCAACACTTTTATTTCTGTTTAAAACACATTTCTGTATGGAGTTTACCGAATACGTTGATCAAGGAAACTGGTAATTTGTAAGTTTGCAGTTTTCGAGGAGACTTAACCTTTGGAAATCCCCAAACTTTGGAGGCCATTTTCTTTGACCTCTGACACCAAGCGACTCTAACCGCCTTCAATTTCAAATATTTCTACTTCTATTCCTGAAAGACGGACATTTTTGCAATCAGAAGCAAGATCGATAAACAAGCTTTAAGCCTATACCAATTCCATACTCCCCAAAGTTGACGAGCGCCTGATTCCACCGTGCCACAACACATTAATATTATTCCCCGCTGGGTAGGTCTGCTATTTATAGGATAGGCTTGTGATCAACCTTCCGTAAGGAAGAGAAGACAACTGTTGTCATGATAGAACATCATTTTGGGGAACAGAACAAAGTGATGACCGCAGAATGTGTTAACCTGACTTTTATTTTTGGATAGATTTTAGGTGACGATATTATGTCGGTGAAATTAAATTTCGATTCCCATCCTTTAAAAAGCTGAACGCACCATTCATACGTACCGTCATGGCGACTCACTGAGAGCAGAGACCCCCGATGTGTGTACAGTTGGTTAAGAAAGTTTCAAATGGAGGGCTTAATAAATATACATTTCTAAACAAATTATAATGAATATCATTTGTATAGCGCTTTCCCCCGCTCAACAGGATTCTGAAACAATCTCAACTGGGGGGCTCTCGTGGTCTAGAGGTTACGCTGTTCGCCTCTCATTCAAGAGGTTCCTGGTTCGAAACCTGACAGCGACAGAAAAATGTGTATCTCTAAAATTTTCACTTCCTTCTCTGCTCTCTAACAATGTTCTATCGTCTGTTTCCGTCTCCACTTTCTGCCCCCACATCATCCCCTTTGCCCCCTCCTCTGGACTCCTGACTCTTTCTGCAGCCTTTCTACTGCTACTGCTTGCCTCCTACTTAATGTTGTCTTTCAGCCACTATAAAATGTAGTAGTAGCGTTTGTGGCGTAGGTAAAATCTAACACCTTGCCTTCTCAGGTAAGGGAAACAAATCTCGGAGGTTCTGTGGGCTAGTTGCGCATGTTAAAGATCTTTTGGTGGTCTAAAATCGATAAGAGTAGGATTCGGTAGCCACCCGGGCAAAATTCCAAACTCTTTCCTACCAAACTTTAAAAAACCCAACATTTATGTGTCCCGCGCTCTCACAAGTAGTTGCGAGGGCCGTAAAGCACTTACCAAACAAAACAAACAATCTCAACTTCCCAGGAAGTGTACTAATTACAATGCAAGCAACCATTTTACAAGCGCTATAACACTAACATGCTGACAAGAGCGTTTGTTGTCTATTCTCACCTGAGTTAAGTGAGGGAAATTCATGTAAAGTACCTTTTCTAAGGACGTAATAATTTGGACCTGAGCCTCGAAAGCCCGAAGTCACAATCTCACGATTTTTACGAGTCAGTAGCCTAACCACATCTTCATAATAAGTTTATCAACTGATATTTCTGGACTGTGAGCAATTCTGAAGAATCCCTATCCTTGTTGAAACTGACACAAATGTTGTTTTCTCAGACAACGACAAACACTCTAATATAAAGGACGGTCTCTCGTGGTTTTGAGGGACGGTGTTTGACTCTCATTCATTTCATTAGGTCCCGTGTTCGATACATGACAGTGATGGAAAATTCACTTCTTATTTTTTTCCCCTTTCACCTTCTTTCCTGCTCTCTTATCATGTTCTGTTGCTACTTTCGTCTCCACATTCTGCCCCCACCCGTTTGGCTCCCTCTTCTGGGCTCCTGACTTTTTCTGCTGCCTTTCTGCTGCTACTCCTCGGCTTCTAGTTACAGCTGTCTTTCAGCCACACCCCTGATCTAATACCTGGCCTTCTCGGATAAGGGCTAAAAAATTCTCGGAGGTCTAGTGTGCAAGTTGAACACGTTCCCTTCGTGGTCTTACAACTGAGAAGAGTAGGCTTCGGCTGCCATCCGGGCAAAATTCAAAGTAAATTCCTGCCAAACTGAAAATGTTTAATGTGTTTTACACATTCATATGCAGCTACGAGTGCGTAAAACGTTTTTTAAATAATAGCCCCCCCAAATCCGTGTTCAGACCAAACATCGACTAACTACCATCCTTCAAACGGACGATAAACAGCCACGTTAGTTGACTGGGGACCTCGTGCTCAGACCACCACCCGTCCATCAATCGCTACCTCAGAACTACAAAGTTCTATTAAACATTTTTTAGGTGTTTTAAGTTACTAAAACTTTAAGGTCAAAAATCAAATTCTTTTCTATTTGTTCTAGCTAAATCGTACTCTTTTTCGGAGACGTTATCAAGATGTATTCAAAGAACGGAATACGAAAAAGCTTGATATGTTGTGAAACTGCTAGTTATTATTGTTTACGTCAGATTTCTCAAAACTAGGCATTGAGCTGATATAACTTTGTAATTCGGAGGCAGTGATTTGTTGGAGCGTCTTTAGCCAATATGGCCGTCAACAACAAAGTTCTTGTTTTGCTATGGCAAGAACAATTACAGCAAACAACGGGCGATGATGTTTTGTCAAACATAATACAGCCAATTTAATGAATCAATAATATATATTATATATATATATATATATATATATATATATATATATATATATATATATATATATATATTATTTGGTTTGATTATATTTCTGCCCCCACTCTTTGAAGTTGAATTTATCAATAACGGTCAGATCCCCGACTGTTTATTCTATCCAAACATGCTTTATGTATTGCTGATGTGAATACAACCTGTCAATTGTTTACTTTTAAGGACAGGCTGGTTAACACAGATTTCGCGGGCTTCCAGAAATCTTGACCTAAACCAAAAGTGGGCATTGTCCTACCTATAGAAGAAGTTTGGTTTCGTTGATGTGTATATTTGTTTGGTTATAGAGAAAACTCTCCTTGACTTTTAAAGAAACTGAACGAGGGGCCAAAATTTTACCTTCGATTTTTTCAGAACAGCACTTTTCGGGATAGCCTCCTATTGTGCTTAAAAAAGCGACCCATTTTTACCAACAATTGCTTGGGCGTTTTTTTCACCAGCAATCAACATTTCACTGTCTATCTCCGTTGTTTCATGACAGTGATAAGAGAATGTGAGAGAGCGAAGTGACACCAACACAGGGGGGCTCTCGTGGCCTAGAGGTTAAGGTGTTCGGCTTTCATTTAAAGGTCTCGAGTTCGAATCCGGGTAGCGATTCACACACACACACACACACACACACACACACACATACACACATACACACACACACACACACACACACACACACATACACACATATATGTAAATATATATATATATATATATATATATATATATATATATATTGAAATATTATATATACATAGTATATATATTGTAAGTATTATATTATTATCATTTTTTACAGTAATGATAATAATA